GAGGCAGACCCAGTGCAAGCAGCTCACCAGGATAATCGCCAGCAACATCGGCAAACTGTGAAGCTGAATGGCAGAGTGGTAAATGGGTTGCGAGACACAGGAGCCACGATGACACTCCTCCAAAAGAACTTGGTCTCAGAGCATCAACACACTGGGGACACTGTGGCAGTAAGGGTAGCAGGGGGTGCTGTGTTTCGCTTACCTGTTGCCCGGGTACATTTTGATTGGGGAGTGGGCGCTAGACATGTGGATGTGGGGGTGATGAAGGACTTGCCCGCAGATGTTCTTCTGGGCAACGATTTGGCCCCTTTGGTTTCAGCCTATGCTCCAATGGGCCCCGCAGATGTTAACACCGTGACCACCCGTGCCCAGACCCGTGCTGCCGGAACCAGCCCACCTGCTGATGAGACCCAGGTAAGATCTCCTTCCCCGACTGGTACCCCAGATCAGGTCCCCTTAAGCTGGGATTCCCCAGAGGAGTTTGGGAGGGAAACCCGGGCAGATCCGACCCTCCAAAAGTACAAAGACAGGGCAGATGCTGGAGAGGAAGGAATAGATGGGGAACGGTATGAGTGGGTGGGGGACAGGTTATATAGGATCCCTAAGCCTTCCCAGAAGAGTGTTGCCTCTCCGCCGAATCGCCAGTTAGTGGTACCTGCAAAGTACCGGCAGGAGATTCTGCGGATAGGGCATGATGTTCCATTAGCTGGACATCTAGGGTCCCGCCGCACAGCCTATAGGATCTCACAGAATTTCTTTTGGCCAAACTTTAACCAGGCTGTGCGGATGTATTGCAGTACGTGTGACACATGTCAACGGGTAGGAAAGCGGGGGGACCACCCTAAGGCTAGGCTATTATCGATGCCTATTATAGGGGAGCCCTTTGCCCGCATAGCCGTTGACATTGTGGGTCCACTGGCCAGGGCTAGTCCATCAGGTAAGAAATACGTTCTTACCGTGGTGGACTATGCCACTCGCTATCCAGGGGCAGTAGTGCAGTCTAATATAGAGGCAGAGGCGGTTGCTGATGCCCTGGTTAGAATTTTTACTAGGGTCGGGTTTCCTAAGGAGATTCTCTCCGACCAGGGAACCCAATTCACCGCTGTGCTCACCCAGCAACTGTGGAAGGTGTGTGGCATTAAGCCGTTACTTAGCTCACCCTACCACCCACAGACTAACGGTCTCTGCGAGCGCTTTAACGGTACCCTCAAACAGATGCTGAGGACCTTTACAGACACTTGCAGAGACTGGGAGAGATTCCTGCCTCATCTATTATTTTCCTATAGAGAGGTGCCCCAGGAGTCTACTGGGTTCTCCCCCTTTGAGCTGCTGTATGGGAGAAGGGTCCGCGGACCCCTAGATCTCATTAGAGGCCACTGGGAGGGGGAGACAGAGCAAGAGGGGACCCCCATAGTGCCATATGTTCTGGAACTCTGGGACCGCATGGAGAAACTGTCCCTGATGGTAAGGGAGAATCTCCAGGCGGCCCAGGGGAGACAGAAAAGATGGTACGATCAGGGTGCCCGACAGCGGGTCTTCCAGGTTGGGCAAAAGGTATTGGTGCTCAAACCCATGAAGGCCAACAAGATGCAAGCATCTTGGCAGGGCCCGTATAAAGTAGTGGCGCAGATCTGCGACACTACTTACTTGATAGCCAGCTGTGCAGATGAAAGGATCCAGCGATCCTTTCATGTGAACATGCTGAAAGAGTACCAGGAGAGACCTGAGAATATTGCAGCAGTATGTGCCCCAGCTGCAGATGATTCTGAGAATTTACCCCTTCCCGATCTATTAGAAAGGGATTACCAGACTGACCTTACTACCTTGGTGCAGCTAGGGGACCGGTTGAACCCCACAGAAAGGGTACAGGCACAGCAGTTGTTATGGGAGAAGCAGGCGACGTTCTCCCAGGAACCAGGTTATACCACCCTAGCTGTGCATAAGGTAGAAACCCCTGGACAGACCCCGTTACGACAGCCCCCCTATCGTATCCCTGAAGCAGTCCGTGAAGGAATGCGGAAGGAGATACAGGAGATGACCCAGCTTGGAGTCATCGAGCACTCCGACAGCCCTTGGGCCTCGCCTGTAGTCCTGGTGCCCAAGAAAGATGGGACCACCCGGTTCTGTGTGGACTACAGGCGACTCAACGAGCGGACCACCACTGACGCCTACCCAATGCCCCGGGTAGACAAATTACTGGATCGTATTGCCAGGGGGCGATATCTGACCACCATAGACCTGTGTAAGGGCTACTGGCAGATCCCCCTGGCAGAGGATGCTATCCCCAAGTCGGCATTTGTCACTCCATTTGGCCTGTACCAATTTAAGGTCATGCCTTTTGGGATGAAAAATGCACCGGCTACCTTCCAACGGATGGTGGATAGACTCCTGGATGGCTTCCAAGAATTTGCCTGTGCATACTTGGACGACATTGCGATTTACAGTGGGTCCTGGGAGGAACACCTGGTACATGTAGGGGTAGTGCTGGATAAAATTCGGGCCGCTGGCCTGACATTGAAGCCAGAGAAGTGCCATCTAGGTATGGCTGAAGTACAATATCTGGGTCACAGAGTGGGGTGTGGGAGCCAGAGACCAGAGCCAGCCAAGGTAGAGGCAGTGGCTAACTGGCCCACACCTACCACTAAGACCCAGGTATTGGCCTTCTTGGGGACGGCAGGGTACTACAGACGTTTTGTCCCTGACTACAGCGCTATTGCTAAGCCCCTGACAGACCTGACCAAGAAAAACTTGCCTAAGCAGGTCCTGTGGTCTCCAGCTTGTGAAGCTGCGTTCCAGGCACTGAAGCAGGCTCTTGTGAATGCCCCTGTCTTGGCTGCCCCAGTCCCTAACAAACGCTTTCTCGTCCATACAGATGCTTCCATGTATGGACTGGGGGCTGTGCTGAGCCAAGTCGGGGAAGATGGAGGAGAGCACCCTGTCGCATATCTCAGCAGAAAGTTGTTACCCAGAGAAGTGAGTTATGCGGCAGTGGAGAAGGAATGCTTGGCCTTGGTCTGGGCATTGAAAAAGTTAAGCCCCTATTTATATGGGCAAGAGTTTTCCCTGGTGACTGACCACAACCCACTCGTTTGGCTTAACCGGGTCTCAGGAGACAATGGGAGACTGCTGAGATGGAGCTTGGCACTACAGCCCTACAATTTTACCATCAGCTACAGACCCGGTAAGCTGAACGGGAATGCAGATGGGTTGTCACGACAAACAGACGTTTCCACCACCTCTTAGTCCGGTCATCCCCAAGTTGACCCGCCACAGGGTCAAGCCGGGTCTGCCGGAGTGCCCCACAAGGAGGGAGCCGTGTGACAGAACCATCTGTCTGCTTGTATTTTAGTTGCATTCGTCTGTTTGTCTCCCGTTCGTATTTATGGCTGGTTTCTATAGCCCAGCCATTCGAATGACTCTTTTTCCCGAACAAACCTGCCGAACGGACGGCCACCCAGGAGAGAAGTGTGCTACTGGTTAACCTATTGATCCCAATTAGAACGTTGTGGTTAACCGCAGACACTTCTCAATTAAACCGAATTCAGGGTGGTCGTCGTTCGTATGTCGACCACGAGGCAGCGGCCATTTTAAACCAAGCGAAAGCCCAGCGGTGTTTGGCTCTATTTCTATGGAACTAAAAACGGACACTTTTTCTGCCGAACACCGCTGAAACAACGGAACGCCTGGCTGCCTCCACGAAAGCATACGAACACCGGCCGTTCGGGAGATTTGGAGCATACGAAAAGACTTAACCCAGATAGCCTTCCCATGGAGTCATTCGTATACCGAAAGACTGTAAGAACTTTGACTCCATGGCGATTGAACTATGTGTGTGGGATCTGAGCGCTATTCGCTAATAATATGCACTCAGATCCAGGCTATCTGGGGATATGTGATACGAATGGGAAATGTTCGGTTTTTGTAGTTATATATTTTTATGTCTTTTATTATTTTATATCTAAGATGGCGACTGGCTTTGTCCTGGAGTTAATTGAGTTACTTGGTAATTAACTCCAGGGCAGAGGGGAGGGAATCATAATGCACTGTGGGTAAAATCTGTGACTGTGTGTCTGAAATGTCCCCCTATCTGTCTGTCATTTAAGTCTCCCATTTGGTCCCCTTAAGGGAGTGTCCACCAGGTGGGAGACCTGCATAAATACGGGCAGGTAGCCCACAGTAAAGCCAGATCCTGTTTGACCCTCAATGCAGAGCTTCTGTCTCGTTATTGGGGGGATTTCTTCTTCACGTTTAGAGACTGCTGGATGGAACGGAAGCTGCTTGGTGAATATTGCTGTTCGACGGTTACCAGCAGTTCGTGTATTGCCGTTCGGGAGTTTGGAGCCGTTCACGGATCTCGTTCGGGAGATTGCCGCTTCCCCTGCATTTGGTTCGTGTATTACAGATTAAGCGAACGGAGACTGTACTGCAGCCGGGGAAGGTCTACTAAACGGCGGTTTTGCCTAAAGACACTGGAGGTGTCTTAACAGCCAGTATGTATGTCTGTGTATGTCAGTATGTATGTGTCTATCTGTATGTCTGTGTGTGTGTCAGTATGTATGTCTGTGTGTATGTCAGTATGCATGTATGTCTGTGTGTATGTCAGTATGTATGTCTGTGTGTATGTCAGTATGCATATATGTCTGTGTGTGTGTCAGTATGTATGTGTGTGTGTATGTATGTCTGTGTGTATGTCAGTATGTATGTCTGTGTGTATGTCAGTATGTATGTCTGTGTGTATGTCAGTATGTATAAATGTCTGTGTGTGTGTCAGTATGTATGTCAGTATGCATGTATGTCTGTGTATGTATGTGTGCGTGTGTATGTCTGTATGTATGACTGTGTATGTCAGCATGTATATATGTTTTTGTGTCTGTCAGTATGTATGTGTGTATGTATGTCAGTATGTATGTATCTATGTCTGTGTGTATGTCTGTATGTATGTGTATATCTGTATGTGTGTGTTTATGTCAGTATATATATGTCTGTGTATGTGTCTGCAAGTATGTATGTGTGTGTGTGTATGTCAGTATGTATGTCTGTGTGTGTATGTCTGTGTGTATGTATGTATGTCAGTATGCATGTATGTCTGTGTGTATATGTCAGTAAGTCTGTATGTGTGTATGTGTCTACCTGAATGTGTGTATGTCAGTATGTATGTGTGTATGTATATATCTATCAGTAAGTATGTCCGCATGCATGTATGTGTATGTCAATATGTCTGTATGTATCTGTGTGTGTGTGTATGTATGTATTTCAGTATGTATGTGTATGTATGCCATTATGTATGCATGTTAGTATGTATTTATGTGTATGTATGTCAGTTTGTCAGTATGTATGTATGTCTGTATGTATGTGTGTGTGTCAGTATGTGAGTATGTATGTACGTCAGTGTGTGTGTCTGTGTGTCAGTATGTGTGTCTGTGTATCTGTATCTGTGTATGTGTTTATATGTGTGTATGTCTGTTTCAGTATTTGTGTCTGTTAGTATGTGTGTATATTCCTGTGTGTGTGTCTGTGTCCTTTTGTGTCTGTGTGTGTGTATTCCTGTGGGCAGGATTTGGAGGCGGGGCTTGAAAGCGACCACCCGGGGGCCCAGACCTTGAGCTATGTTAGGGGCCCCACAATTTCTGATGGCGGCCCTGGTTGCATGTTAGCCCAACAGTACCGGATTCATTTGGACAGTCCCAGTTTTGGAGTTCTGTCTGTGATAGAAGCTACAGGATGTTGAGGTAAAGTTCAGTACTCACATGGTAAAAACTACTGTGCAACTATCTTGAACCAGGGCGCATGTGTGGAATGTCAGGAATGCCCGCTATTAGATAACATATGTAAGAGATAAGTTGTAGTTTAATAGTTGGATGTAACTATTGTAATGTGGGTGTAATTCTTTTTTTTATATACGTATGGAATACGTCATTTGTGGTATATAGTCTTTGTTCTCTTGTAAACGTGTGCTCAGTTGGGTATTGTCTGACTGAGACTTTGCAGCTGCAAAACAATAAATAGCCTTTGTTCTTCAAAGACCGGTGTCTGGAATGTTTGGAGTGTCCCTGCATCATCTCTGACCCGAGAATTCTTCCACATGTCCACCTGTCCATCATTAGACCTGTTTGTACTGTACACAGCTAACTAAGGCAGCGTTTAGTGGGGTTAACCATCCATTTTAACCATGCATTCACGTCAGGCTAACATGCCCTCTTTTCAGGTTGATGAGCCTAGAAACTCTTATTTTGTCACCACCCACCTGTCTATTGAGACCCACCCCCTTTCCTGAGCTGACACCTACAACGTTGGGAAGTACAAACATCTACACTGTCAATTAAGATGCTAACACACTTTGATTTTAATTAAATTGTATTAATTTTTACAGGCAGTGATGTAATGGAACGTGTCTACTATTTACATAGTTACATAGTTACATAGCTGAAAAGAGACTTGCATCCATCAAGTTCAGCCTCTCTCACATTTGTTTTTTGCAGTTGATCCCAAAAAAAAAAAAAACCCAGTTTGAAGCACAATTTTGCAACAAGCTAGGAAAAAATTTTCTTCTTGACCCAGGAATGGCAGTCAGATTTATCCTTAGATCAAGCAGTTATTACCCTACATTGAAAGATTATATCCTTGAATATTCTGTTTTTGCAGGTATGCATCTAGTAGCATTGTGAACATCTGTATGGACTCTGATAAAACCACTTCTTCAGGCAGGGAATTCTACATCCTGATTGTTCTTACAGTAAAAAAACCTTTCCTTTGCCTTAGACGAAATCTTCGTTCTTCCAGTCTAAACGCATGGCCTTGTGTCCTATGTAAAGTCTGGTTTGTGAATAGATTTCCACACAATGGTTTGTATTGGCCCCGAATATATTTATATAATGTTATCATATCCCCTCTCAGGCGACGTTTTTCTAAACTAAATAGGTTTACATTTTTTGACCTTTCTTCATGGCTGATATGTTCCATTCCTTTTATTAATTTTGTAGCCCGCCTCGGCACTTTTTCTAGTGCCATAATATCCTTCTTTAGAACAGGTGCCCAAAATTGCACAGCATATTCAATATGTGGTCTTACCAGTGATTTATAAAGAGGCAAAATGATATTCTCGTCCTGAGAATGAATGCCCTTTTTAATGCATGACAATACCTTACTGGCCTTGGCCACTGCTGATTGACATTGCACATTGTTGCCTAGTTTGTTGACTATAACAATTCCCAAGTCCTTTTCGTGTGTTGTTATCCCTAATTCGCTTCCATTAAGGGTATACGTTGCTTGTGTATTCATTACACCGAAGTGCATAACTTTGCATTTTTCAACATTAAATTTCATCTGCCATTTGAGTGCCCAGTCCACCAGTCTATCTAAATCCCTCTGCAGCAAAGTAATATCTTGCTCACATTGTATTTTACAAAGTTTTCTGTCACCTGCAAACACTGAAACATGACTTTCAATGCTGTCTTCAAGATTTATAAATATGTTAAATAGAAGGGGTCACAGAACAGACCCCTGAGGGACACCGCTTGCCACCTCTGTCAAGCTTAAAAATTTACCATTAATGACAACTCTTTGTACTCTGTTTTTAAGCCAATGTTCTACCCAAGAACAAGCATTTTCATCTAGACCGATTTCCTTGAGTTTGAACACTAATCTATTGTGTGGAACTGTATCAAATTCCTTGGCAAAATCCAAATAGATCACATCCACTGCAACACCCTGATCTATACTTCTACTTACTTCTTCGTAGAATGCAATCAAGTTAGTTTGACATGACCTGTGCTTCATAAAACCGTGCTGATTTTTGCTGATAACCATATTCTTCTCAAGGAATTCTTGAATATTATCCCTTAATAACCTTTCAAATATGCTACCAGCCACAGAAGTTAAGCTCACAGGTCTATAATTTCCAGGCAAGGATTTTGAACCCTTTTTGAATATAGGAACCACATCTGCCTTCCTCCAATTTTATTTGATCTTTTTATTTAATTTTCTCATACCCAGCAGTGAGGTTAACTGGTGGTGCGAGTTTTTTTATTTATTTTTTTTAATTTCATATATAATTAATATCCCTACTAGCAGTAAAATGTAACTGTTTGCTAGGTTTTAATTATTTCTCACGTCAATCAGTAAAAGCATCTTGTTGTCTGTGTTTTACTTATTTAAATATTAGTTCTTAAAGAAACACTGTGAGTGAGTGTGTGTGTCTGTGAGTGATTGTATGAGTTTGTGTGCATGTGAGTGTATGTGTGTGCATGTGAGTGTATATGTGCGTGTATAAGTGTGTCTGTCAGTGTATGAGTGCCAGTAGTGTCCTGGAGGCACCTCCCTCCCATATTAGTAGACAAACGGTTTGCTGGGTTCCTCTCCCTGTCTCATAAGAGTGAGAATTACTCTGTCTTAGCTAAGCTCGGAGGAGATGGAGAAACTGAAGCTTCTAGCTTCAGGACTGGAAGGGAAGAGGCAAGGAGCGGGGTCTAGTGAACCTTTGGTAAGAAGTCAAACCATTTTAAAACAGCTTAACTACTTACATTGGGGGTACAACAGGACTCTTCTGGCACCATAACTACCACAGTGTGCAGTAGATTGTGATGAAATCGGAGATGGATGTTTTTCAAATTGTAGACTTGGTGGAAAGTTACAATAACCACAAAGTGGACAACGCTTAGAACTTTAAAACATGCTGCAGTGAGTGATGGTGTCAAATCCAGCGGCACTCACCCCCAACACAAAGTGAACTAAGATGGAAAAGAATGGTGTTGCACTATAAATGATGATATACACACAGTAATATTTCACCATCGGTATTTGTAAATACTGTACCATAGTCTGTAAAAACATATAAAAACACTTATAGCGTAGACTATCTGAACTAGTTATATAATTGTGCACACAGAACATATATAGATATAGCACTCACATTTCCCAGAGCCTTATAAACCCTGGCTCTGGGTAAGGAAGGCTCCTATGGGGAGGGACAAATCCCACAATAAGATGTTTCCATTTGAAATGTTGTGAGTTATGTGTCTAGCACACCAATGAACACTTTGGCTGGGGAGAGCAGACACTGACTTTTCACTTTTCACACTGTGCAGCCCACGCTGACAATGAAACACTGAGTGTGTGAGAAGTGAGATACAAATTAAATCTGCAGATAAGGATATGCAAAAAGGTATCTTAATATCGATTCCCAAATGCTATCTCTACTAATAATGACCTCCCTATATATATATATAGAGAGATCCTTATTGGTGCTAGAGACACTGGATAGGGAATATATATGTGTGCAAGAACGATAGCAGACTACTATAGTAAGTATAATGAGGAGATACAGGTGAAACAGCCGTCACTCAGCTGATGTAGCCTTCTGTGCCCGATAAGTTCCTATCTAGGCATTAAAACTGTCAGTATTGATACACTGGGGAATGAATATCCATCTCCACAGGATCGGAAAACAAATCACAGGTAATTCGGTATGTACAAATATATGTCAGCTAGTATGTTCAAATATCCATTATCTGGAAAGCCTAATACAACTTATAATTGCTAGGTAAAGAAAAGTTACGGATGAGTCTTAAAGGCACTAGGCAGAAGGTATCGATATGATCTCTACGAATAGGCTATCTATTAAATGGTCTGCCATAAATTATTCCTGTTAAGTTGTTACAATTAGACACTCGATACAAACTGTATCTAGGAGGGAAAGTTAGATAAAAACGAACTAACACTTCACAAGTACTAGGGCTGAAAATATCCTACGCTTATTGTACTCCCTGTGCCTTCAAGGGCACCAATTACTGCTGGGTACTAAATCCTAATAGACAGAAATAATAATACATGAAAAATAAAGTAAAAATTCAAACTAAGTAGTACGGTCGCAAGTCTATATGCTGAACTCTAAAAACCATAAGAGTGGCACACTGCAGACTCCAACGCTGTGTCTATAAAATAAAGAAGGATAAAGATGAACTAGCACGAGGCAAGTATTAGGGCTGTAAATATCCTATACTTTTATTCACCCTGTGCCTTCGAGGGCACCTTTCTCTAGTCCCACTTGTAGCTACACACTAAATCCTAATAGACAAAAATCATTTAGAACGAAAAATAAAGTTAATATTTAGCTGGGTAGTGTGGTCACAAGTCCATGTGCTAAATTCTAAATCCATAAGAGTAGCACACTGAGACCCCTGACCCGCGTTTCGACCAACCAGGCTCATCAGAGGGGAACCGGTCGGTACATAGCATCTGGTTTAA